CATAGCGGCCGCGGTGGGAGACCACCCCCTGCGCACCCCCTGTGGTGTCGAGAAAGTGCCACGCCTGCGTGCATGGACGACCGTCGTGCATAGCGGCGCGGTGAGAGACCACCCCTGCGCCCCCCTGTGGTGCGAGAATGTGCCACGCCTGCTGTGCCTGGACGACCGTCGTGCATAGCGGCCGCGGTGAGAGACCACCCCCTGCGCACCCCCTGTGGTGTCGAGAATGCGCCACGCCTGCTGTGCCTGGACGACCGTCGTGTAGCGGCCGCTGAGACACCACCCCCTCTATGGTGTCGAGAAGTGCCACGGTGTGGATGCATAGCGGCGCAGTGGGAGCACCCCGTGCGCACCCCCTGTGGTGTCGAGAAGGTGCCACGCCTGCTGTGCCTGGACGACCGTCGTGCATAGCGGCCGCGGTGAGAGACCACCCCCTGCGCACCCCCTGTGGTGTCGAGAAAGTGCCACGCCTGCTGTGCCTGGACGACCGTCGTGCATAGCGGCCGCGGTGAGAGACCACCCCTGCGCACCCCCTTGTGGTGTCGAGAAAGTGCCACGCCTGCTGTGCCTGGACGACCGTCGTGCATAGCGGCCGCGGTGGGAGACCACCCCCTGCGCACCCCCTGTGGTGTCGAGAAAGTGCCACGCCTGTTGTGCCTGGACGACCGTCGTGCATAGAGGCCGCGGTGAGAGACCACCCCCTGCGCACCCCCTGTGGTGTCGAGAAGGTGCCACGCCTGCTGTGCCTGGACGACCGTCGTGCATAGCGGCCGCGGTGAGAGACCACCCCCTGCGCACCCCCTGTGATGTCGAGCAAGTGCAACGCCTGTTGTGCCTGGACGACCGTCGTGCATAGCGGCCGCGGTGAGAGACCACCCCCTGCACAGCCCCTGTGGTGTCGAGAATGTGCCACGCCCGCTGTCCTGAGCTGAGCTGAGCGAGGTGAATGAGCGCGGGTGCGGCGCGGCAGGGAAGAGAAGGGGAGGGAGGAGGAGGAGACGCGGGTGCGCCGCGGCAGGGGAGGAAACCATAACCCCACGAAACATGTGGGGAAATACAACAACAAGCATGTTACGCTCCTGCGCGATGTTTTCACTCGGAGCATGCGACCATCATGATAACCCTCCCCATCATGGGGGATTATTGTTATATCGCGGGGTCCGTTATTCCCATTCCTAAATATCCCGCCCAATGAGGTCTTGCAAACACCTCCTCCGTTGAATTTCAACATGTCCCGCCTCGAAAACGCATGTCCGCGCCTTGCTGCGCCGATGCGAGTCCGCCACTGGAGCCCCAACCAAGGGTAAAGCACAAGAAAGTATCAAGCGACAGGATTGCCTTGGTGGAAATGGGGGCTGTCGGCGGCGAGGCAAGGACCTGCCCCCGAATAGAAAGGGAGGAAGACTCGAGCAGGGCCTCTGTTGTTGCTGGAGGCGGCGCAAATGCTGAAGAGAGTAGGGCGGTTGTCCAGCGTAAAACAGAACGAAATCTCGAGCGGGAGTGCTGGTTTTGTGGGGACGGCAGCTGTCGGCGGCGAGGAGGAACACCGCCTTGAGTAAGAAGGAGGGAAGTCCGAGCGGGAGCCGTGGCTTTGTCTGGACGGGGGCTGTCGGCGGCGAGGAAGAGCACCGTCCTGAGGAGGAAAATCCTCGAGCGGGAGCGTTGTTCTTGCTGGGAGCGGCGCCAATTCAAAAGAGACTAGGGCGCCAGTCCAGCGTAAAACGGGAGGACGTCTCGGGCGGGAGCGCTGGTTTTGTCGGGACGGCGGCTTTCGGCGACGAGGAGGAGCACCGCCTGGAGTAAAAAAGGGGGGAGTCTCGAGCAGGAGCGTTGTTGTTGCTGGGGGCGGCGCCGCTGAGAGAAAGAGTAGCGCGCGGGTCCAAGGTAAAACGGGAGAAGTCTCGAGCGGTAGCGCTGGTTTTGTTGGGACGGCGGCTTTTGGCGGCGAGCAAAAGCACCGGCCCTGAGCGAAAAAGGAGGAAGTCTCGAGCGGGAGCGTTGTTGTTGGGGGGGCCCTTTTGGCGCCCCCCCCAAACTGCTCGAGCGTGAGCCTCATTTTCAATGAAAATCTAGCCAGCGCCGAGGCGAGAGCGCCAAAGTGCCTGGGGGGGTCCAACAATAATAATTGCTTAGTAATCAATATTTAGCCAAAAAAACTACCACCAACAACAAAAAGTTTAAGACTGTTCGCTCCTATCTGCTCGAGTGCCACCAACAGGTATATCCCATACCCTCGGTACCCGCCCTCTTCGTCTTCGATCGTACCCCCGTGGAGGTGTATCTTCCTTGCCTGCCACGTGCATTTGGTGCAGCTCCTAAGGGAGGGGAAGGGAGGAAGGATGGAAGGGGGAGGGAGAAGGGTGGAGCACGAGAGAAATCAGCAGGAGGGGGGCCGGGAGCTGAAAACACGTGGTAGAGCCAGACGGGCAGATCGGGCGGGCAGACCCAGCAGGCGGATTGCTGAAGCGTGAGTCCTGCATGAATCGCAAGAAGGCTCGAGCAATAGCGCGATTCCTGCGTAAATCGTGAGAAGAGAAACAACGAGAGCGTGATTCCTGAGTGTCAAGGGTGCGGTGTTTGAATGAATGGCGAAGGAGTCCCACGCGAGAGCGCGATAGTCCCGCGAGAGAGCGCAATTTTGGAATCAAGTGTGAAATATCAAGCCGGAGCGGTTGTTGTTGTATCCGGGCGGTCAACAACACAGCTTTTGCAGTAAGAACTTCCGGGATAATTGCTCTGGCGAAGGTACCCAACCCATTCTACACGCGTGGAAGGTATCAAGTATATCACTCGCTGCACAAGACACAAGAACTCTTTGGGGGTGGTCGCACTTCCCTGAAAACTTCGCCAGAGAAAATCGGACCCGGCTCAGCACACAGCCACGCGACTCAATTCACACGCGGAGGTTAGCTGTGCATGAGGCGCGGAACACAAGGGCGGGGACTGTGGGAGCAGGAGGGCATCCTCATCTCTGAGCCAAACCGCGTCGCGGATCATGCGCCATGCTCTTGGGGGGTGCGCCAGGAGGGACCCGAGTCACCATGCGGGCGCAGCCACTGGGACTTTCGGTGGAGCTCCCTATGGGGCCACGAAACTCTGTGAGGGTTGTGCAAGAAAGGACCCGAGCCTTCTTGCGGACGCAGTCACTGGGGCCTTCTAGGGAACTCCCAATGGGGCCACGAAACGTGTGAGGGGTGTGCCGGAAGGAGCCCGAGTCACCATGCGGACGCAGCCACTGGGCCTTCGGTGGGTCTCCATATGGGGCCACGAAACGTGTGAGGGGTGTGCCAGCAGGGGCCCGAGTCACCATGCGCACGCAACCACTCGGGCCTTCGGCGGGGCTCCTGCGGAGCCACGAAAAGTGTGAGGGGTGTGCCGAAGGGACCCGAGTCATTATGCGGACGCAGCCACTTGGGCCTTCGGTGGAGCTCCTTATGGGGCCACGAAGCGTGTGAGGGGTGCGCTTGGAGGAACCCGAATCACCATGTGGACGCAACCACTGGGGCCTTCTGGGGAGCTCCCTATGGGGCCACGAAACGTGTGAATGGTGTGCCAAAAGGGACCCGAGTCACCCTGCGGACGCAGCCACAGAAGCGTTCGGTGGAGCTCCCTATGGGGCTGCGAGACGTGTGAGGGGTGCGCCGACAGGGTGATGATGGTGGTGGCGATGGTGATGGCGATGATTCTGGTGGTGGTGATGACAGTGGTGAGGATGATGATGATGATGATGATGATGATGATGATGATGATGATGATGATGATGATGATGATGATGATGATGATGATGACGATGATGATGATGATGGTGGTGATGATGGTGATGATGATGATGATGCTGACGATGCTGATGCTGATGATGATGGTGATGATGATGATGATGATGATGCTGATTATGATGATGCTGACGATGCTGATACTGATGATGATGATGATGATGATGATAATGAAGATGATAATGATGATGATGACGATGGTGGTGATGATGATGATGATGATGATGATGATGATGATGATGATGATGATGATGATGATGATGATGATGACGGTGGTGGCGGTGATGGTAATGGGGAGAGGGGAGCAGAGGATGAGGAGGACGTGGAAGGAGGAGTGAAGAGGAAGAGGAGAGGAGGGAGGAGGAGCAGGAGGAGGAGGAGGAGGAAGGCAGGAAGTAATGAGACGTGCGGCGCTGCGAAGTCAAAACGAAAACCCAATACACAGGAGGGTTTGGGAAAAAACAGGATGCGAGCCCCGAGGGGGCACTTCACAAGAAAAACACAATGTGCACCAATGGGAGATCAATACTATTCATTCTTCAAGAATCAGAGTTCAACAGCAACAGCAACAACACCATCTGCTTGGGCTTCCTCTTTCCCCACGGGAAAATTGCCACGCTCGCCTTGGCAGCCGCATATCGAGGATCATGACCACGTCCTTGCCTCGCTCGTCTAGAAAACTGGTAAAGTCGACCTCCAGGTCCCCTGGAAACAGCGTGGGTGAGGGCGAGGAAACGTGCAAGTTCTACAACCCACTCTCCACACTCGGTCTGAGAGGTTGCAAAGTCCCGTGCGTTCTGCCACACGGTCTGCCACGCTTGGCTGAGCTTGAAACGCTCCCCTCCACGCCCCTGATTTGTAATACCTTCCTCGGCCCTGAAAAGCCCGTCCATCCGTGCATGAATGTGTCATCTCATGACACGCTGCGATAAAGAGAGCAACATTAGCCTGTGCTGTTGTTGTCTTTTGCGGCTTACCCGCAAGACCTTTCGACCTTCGATCCCCGACGCTGTACCCTCGACGGCGGCAGCCGACGACAACGGCGGCGAGGACGAGGGGGATACCAAAGGGGAACAGCAGGAGGAGGAAGAGGACGACGAGAAGGAGAAGGATGAGAATGAGGCCGGCCGCAGCGATTTCTTCTCGTTCTTCTTCTTCTTTTTCGACGACGACGACGAAGACTACGACGACGACGCAGACGACGACGACGACGGTGAGCTCTTGGGCCTCCTGCCGTGCGCTGGCTTCCGCGCGATGGAGCCGCCGAGGCGCAGCGCCGCGCCAACGGTAGCCTGCCCCAGCGCCGGGCGCTGCTCCTGGGACAGCACTCCGTCGTCGCAGTCGTCGGCCGCGCTTGGTCGGTCGCGCGTCGTCGTCGTCGGCGGCTTCAGCGTCGTCTTCGTCGGAATCGTCGTTGTCGTCGTCCTCGTGGTCGTCGCCGTCGGCGGCGTCGTCAGCGTCGGCGGGGTCGTCGGGGTCGAGGGTCGGAAACGAGGCTGTGGAGCAAGGGCCGAAGCTCGAGGATCGAACCTTGACCATCCTGCCTCCTCCTCCTCCTCCTCCTCCTCCCCCTCCTCCTCCTCCTCCTCCTCCCCCTCCTAGGTGGCCCAGGAGGTTGTGGCGAGGCCGAAGGGGTCGGCCCGTTCTTCTCCAGAGCCCCCAGCCGACAGCCCGTTCAGCGAGGCGTCGGCGACCAGTCTCATCCCATTTCTCCCCGATCCAGATCGCCCGCATGGCACCGCCGCAGGCGCAGGGTCCGCGCGTGGGCGCGAGCCGTGCTCCAGAGCCAGCGGGCCGCCGCGGCACTCGCGGGTCATCACGGCGAGGCCTGCGCCGTGGCGGCCCGCGGCGCCCCGTGGCAGGGCGGCGCAGACCCCCCTCGTTCATCGGGCACGGGCTCTGGCGGGGGCAGCTGTGGCGGGAGCTCCCTGGGAGGCAGCGGTGGAGGCACGTCCAAGCCCACCTGGGCGTGCGTCGCCTCCCGCCAGTGCGGCTTCGCCACCAACTTCTTCGACCGCAGCACGTGCTACAGATGCGGCAGGGATCGCCAAGGCCGCATGGTGGAAGGTGCTGCTCGTCGCGGCAGTGCTCGGCCTCCATCTCGTCCTCGGTCCCGCGGAGCTTCCCGTGGTGGCGGCGGTGACGGTGGCAAGGGCGGCCCACCCGAAGCCGATGCAGGAGAGGATGAGCTCGCGCGATGCAGACGTGCGCTGGCCTCCCTGCGCAGGCTGCGCTACGCCGAGGACGCCCCGATTGTGGAGCTTGCCAAGATGGAACTCGCGAAGGCGGAGGCCCTGGTGCGAGCCTCTCAAGACGTGCTGCGTGACGGCCTCGACAGGCTCCTCGCCAAGGAGGAGGAGCTCGCCAAGCTGTCCACATCGGTGGATGACCAGGAACCGAAGCTAGCGACCGAAGCTAAGAAAAATCGTGATATGGTGGCGGCAGAAATCGGCCAGCTGGAGATCGCCGTGGAGCGGGCGAGGCAGGCCCTGGCGCGTCCGCAGCAGCCTGCGACGGCGCCCGCCGACCTCCACCAGCTAGCAGCCCAGCTCCAAGTCCTCCGCGGCGTGCTGCAGCAGGCGACGGGCGGGGTCGCGGAGGTCCACGCAGCGCAGCTGGTCGCCTTGCTCTCGTCGCACGTGGACTCCATGGCGGGAGTGGTCGCAACGTCCCAGGCGGCCCAGACGGCAGAAGTGCAGACGGCGCCATCCGAGCAGCAGCGCACAGACGTTGTCATGGGCGCGAGCACGTCTGGCATCCACTGGGCGTTTCGCCCTGCCCGAGCCCCAGACGGAGGCGCAGCAGTCCAGCCCGCAGGGTCGCCGCAGACACCACCGGCGTAGCTGGGCCAAGCGGAGGGCGCCCCGCAAGTCCCACAAGGTCTCGGTCCAGCTGGCGTCCTTCAGCGGATCCTGTTAGGCTACGTTTCGTGGCTACCTTGCCCAGGTCGCGAAGGAGGTCACAGCAGTCGCTGCTCAGGAGCTGCGCCTCGACGGGATCGGGAGGAGGCGCGGGCCTGGGCGGCATCGCAGGGACGGAAGGCGTACATCACGCCGTGCCGTCGCCTGGAGTCAGGGGCTCCGAGCGCGGGAGTCGGCCTTTTCGTTCGCAGTTCTGTTCGCACACGCTTGCTCGATGCACAGTCTGGCATTCATGAATGTGAAGTCATCCCAGCCTGGGAAGTTGCAGTGCACGCTGACGTAGTTGCTCTTGAACTTTATTTTGCACTACCCATCGTAGTCGGTTAGCCGCCTCTCCCCTTTGCCCCCTCGAGGGCTCAAGTCGGCGCGGACGAGGCCCGCGGGCGGGCCATTCAGCGGTCGTGCCTGGGCGCGGCCTCCCCTCCGCGGAGCGATTCCGCGGCCTTTCGCGCTCGCGGGCGCGCTGCTCGCGTTCCTGGGCCTCTCGGGCGATCTCCAGGATGAAGTGCTGGCCGCGGGGGGCGGCCTGAACCAGGACCAGGTCCTGGACATCTTCGGCCTGCGCTTCGCGGGCGAGGAGGGGGACTACACCGGGGAGGACGAGGCGGTGGAGACCGCCGAGGTCGAGGATATCGACCTCGGCGGTCTCCATCGCCTCGTCCTGCGAATATGCGTCGCCGAGGTCGAGGAGAGCGCTGTGCCGACGATGGCGCAGTTGGACCAGTTCATCGCCAAACTGAACGAGCACGAGGAGCTGGTGAAGAGCGACTCCGATCGGGGGACGAGGGGCAGCAGACGCGAAGCAGGAAGGTCGTCCTCCGAGTCGGAGTGGGAGAAGCTCCGCCCGTTCCTGCAGGCTCGGTCTCGGACACGATCGCCCAGCTCGAGATGGAGAGCAAGAGTCCCAGGGGCGCCCTCCTTCAAACCACATCCCCAACATGCGAGTTGGGGGGATCACGACTCGGGTGGTGCCGACGGTGCTGAGCAAGGTCTACAGGGGGGGCGCTCTGCTAAGATCGAGGTGCAGGAATGGCTGAGGAGCAAAGAGCTCACCAAGGCCCCCCTCGCCAACGAGATGCTGGTCCTCGCCATGACGCTGGATCGCATGATGGTTTCGGGGGATTTCAAGGGGCTGATCAACTCCCAGGCCAGCGAGCTGAACTGCCTCAGGATGTACGCGATCATGAAGGCCTACGAGGGCGTGACGTGCGAGAACGACTGGAAGAGGCCTCGCAACGCGAGCGGGGCCAAGTGGAGGTCGAAGGTCGACTGGTCGCTCGGGGAGGAGTACCTGAGGCCGACTTCGCAGGACACTATCGAGGACACCCTGGCCGACGACGAGGTGACGGACAAGCTGAGGAAGAGGGCGCAGATCCAGAAGCACCTGACGTCGGTGCGGGACGCGGCGCCCAAGGATGACGAATAGGGGTGGCCCGAGGGTGCGCTTTGGAGTGGCGTCCCTTGGGCAAGTCTTGCACTGCTGTGCTCACTCCTGTGGATATGTGCTGCGTCGGGGTCGTCAGCGGGGAGATCGTCAGGTCGAGGGTGGAGCAGGAAGGTTAAGGCCCTCGGGCTCGCCGCGCTGAGCCTCGCTAGCCGAGTTGACGCTGGGCTGCGGGGCGATTCGAGTCCAGGCCGTGTCTTGTACATCGCGGATCTGAGCTGCACCACTGCGCCCAATCTACGTCGCGCTCCAGGTGAATGGGTGCTTCCTTTACGTCCCCCAGATGATGGTGGACTTCCGAGAGAGGGACCCACTTCGGAGCCTGCCATCACCGACGGGATCGTTGGCGACGAGGGCCTCGAGCTCGGGCTTCACGGCGGAGCAGCTGCGTTTGACTTGGCTGCGTACCTGTCGGACGGTTCGGTCTCTTCGTGCTCTCGCTGCTGGGCGGGTTGGCGCAGCCGATGGGGCGGCTGTGCTGCGCTCGTGGTCGGAGGCGACTGGGCTCCAACGCAGGGTGGTCTACGACATCTGGGATCGCCGCGCCGCCCTTGGGGCGTGGGGGGGCATCAGCGACGGCAAGGCGGCACTCCGCCGTCCGCGGGGGTCCGACAGCTCGGGCTATGCGGCAGGCGGGGGGTGCGGCAATAAGCATACTACATCATCTACTACGTTTATCCAGAACTGCGACCTCTGCAGGATGGTGGCGGACCAGGTTTCGTCGCCGTCCCCAGGGGCCGCGGGCCTGCCTCTGGCGGGTCTTTCGGCGACCGCGGCGCCCTACCTGGAGCGCTTCGAGAGCCGGATGCTGGAGGGTCCGAAGGAGGTGGACTGGGAGAGGTACGAGAGCATCAAAAGCTACTCCGATCCAGGCTGGAAGGACCGACACACCAGGCTCACCGTGGCCATGGGGATGATGCAATCAAGTATGGTCCAGTACGTCAAGGAGGCGAAGCACACCGTGGGGCTCTTTTGCGTGGCAAAGGACGTGATCGAGAATGGGCGGGACGTGGTCAAGTCTCGCCTCATCTGGGACGTTCGGAAGGTGAATATGCTATTTCGGCGGCCGCCGTGGACACCACTGGGGTCGCCGTCCGCCCTGCTCGAGCTGGAGTTGACGAGCGACATCTTGAAGGACCGTGTGCTGGGGAGCTTCCAAGGGGACGTGCCCGACTGGTTCTACAGGTTGAGGTGGGCGGACGGACTGGCAGAGCACTTCGCGCTCGAGGGGGTTGCGCCCGAGGAGTTGTACACCTTTGCGAAGGAAGCCGGCGTGGACATCCCCGCCCCGCCCGCGGGGGCCGCGGTGATGGGGTCTGTCGCACCGGTGATGGGTGCTGCCTGGGCGGTCTTTCTGGCCCACTCTGCCCCTGTCGACTGCTTCGAGTCCATGGAAGGGCTGTCCACGGAGCAGATCACTTTGGGCAAGGTGTGTCTGAGTTTTGCCGGGACCGAGCTTCTGCTGCTGCTGTGCATCGACGACTACATAGGCCTGAAGCTCGTGAAGAATGGGGGGGACGCCGACCTCGAAGTGACCAAAGACCACGTTCGGAGCGACTTGAATGCGAAGGGCCTCGCAGTGCACAAAGGGGAGGCAGGGGAGGGACTTCGGCGAGGGCTAGGACTTACTATATCGGGGCGCCCCCTACAAGTTGAAGGTCTACCCCGAGAAGATGAAGGGCCTGATCATCTGCACCGAGGCGATCGCGGTCACTCAGTCCGTGCGACCGCGGGAGCTGGCTGCGGCGGTGGGCTGCTGGGCGCGGGCGATGTTGATCTGCAGGCCTGCCTTTGCGATCCTGGGCGCCTGCTACCGATGGGTCGGCAGCTTCGCGGAGGAGGACGCCGAGAAGCTGCAGCGTCTTCCCGTCGCCGTGTTGGACGAGCTGAAGGCTCTGGGATCGCTGGCCATGTTCTTCGAGGCGAACCTGGAGTTGGACTTGCATACGAC